GAGATCGATGGAGAAAACTAGCTCGGAAGACTGGTGATCCTGCTGCATGGTCTGCTTACAGCAACTGTAAACGGGATGTTAAACGAGAGTTACGTATGGCCCAAAGATATTTTGTCGAACAGGAAATTAGGAAAAACACCAAGGACACTGGCAACATGTGGAAAGTAATTCGCACTTGTATTCCAAAGAAATCTACCGGGAAAAATGCTTCAGCAGTGACCATAAGTCCGTGGCGAATAACTTCAACCAGTTTTTTACATCAGTTGGTTCAAATACTGTCACGAAAATCAAATCACTGGCTAAAGAAAACAATTACACTCCATCTCAGTTACCATTTGTCCCGCGAAGTTATACCGAGTCAGAACAGTTCACCTTCGAACCCGTAGAATGCTCCCTAGTAGAATATAATTATAACCTCAATTAACCTTGTATAATAAATGTTTTAATACTGGCAAAGAATTAGCATAACATTTTCATTTAGATAGATTACTGTTTATGATATACGGCCTGGCCCAATGATTATACAAGAGAGAAATTCAATCTACTGTATTCTGTACTATAAATTAAAGATGCATACCTTGAATATCATACTTAATTAATATAGCAAGATTCTCTGCTCAAAACTTTGGTCTAAAATATAATAACAAATATAGTGTCATTTAGATAACTATTATGAAAAATATCATCTGTAATACGAAGGATTTGGTCGGTATTAAATAAATTTTATATGCGTCTATGTCCCGGTCTATGATGTCTATAATTTTGCGACCAAATCTATCACAAATCACAATCAATTGAAGTGTAAACAAATCGCTACAAAATATAAAAACACTCACCAAATATTGAGCTTTATTACGAAAATACGATCCATTTAGTTCACCAAATCAAAGAGACTTGATATAAACATAAAATTATACAAAAAATCGGCAAAGGAGACACACTTCCCGCCAAAAATTCAAATACAAAACATCACGCTTCGAAATATGCATGGGTGGACCTCTGCTATATTAAGGGGCGGTTCGGAGCGCTCAATCTATAACTGGAGTCATCATGTAAATCCAGTGAACTGAATATATACGGCTGCAAATTTTATTCTCGGCCCGCAGTACATTCGAATGCGATACGATTTAGCTGATAGTGAGAATTAGGATGTATATACTATATTACTGTATTCTGCTATTTGTATATATTCAGAGCTTGAGGTTGTAACTGATATGCCATGATATTTTCCACTCATGGTGGATCATTTGTCGATATTTTTAAAAAATAAGATTTCATCAAAAGCTGGTTGACATTACCTGTAATTAATATCGGTGACAACAATTTTTGTGCAGGCTGAAGTTCCATTTAAGGACAAAATTGTCATACTTATCTTTACACCAAAGTAGTGTTTTAATACACTTAAATAGTGTTAAGTTACCGACTTCTGGTGTAAATTTACACCGATTTAGTGTTAAAAGACTAAAAGTGTAATTTTACATTTTCGAGGTGTAATTCACGGATTTACACCGAAATAGTGTAAATTTACACCTATTTGGTGTTCGCTGAACACTTCGGAATTTAGAGTGTACCAATGTTCATTACACCATGTGATGTTAATAACCTTTTTTTATAGACCTTCCAAGAATATTCAACTAAATTTCACTTCTCTCAATAAATTGGTTTTCGTGTATTTATCAATTCGTCTCTTTGTGGATGCTGCGGATGAATACCTAATGCAACCAATCGCTTGGTATTATCTGGAGTATCTTGGGAAATCACATGCGTTCCTTAGCTTAACTCTAGTAGCTTTCCAAACAGCATCCGTGCTCTTTGCACCATTTTTCGGAATATTTGAAGAAAAGTTTGAAGCTTCGAAGGCAATCGTTCTCGTGTGTGGTCTAACAAAGTTTTTTGTCAATTTACTGTATTCAATTCCTATCAACGGATACTTCCCTTTGTTTGGAAGATTCATACGTGGGATAGGTGAAGCTACTATAGGTGTTCTTTACGGCGCAGTGACAAAGTGCACCACAAATAAGAATCGTGCGAAGGCTTTCCTATATTTTGAAGGTCTCTTTAGTCTTGGTTCAATATTGGGGCCTACGATCAGCAGTCTTCTCATATTCAACGTGACTATACTACAATCAGTGACAAAAGGTTTTTTGACAGTGGTATAATATATACATATCTCCGCATTTCCAAATACTGTTCAGCATAAAGCCACTATCCCTCCCTCCCCCACCCTAAACAATGTTGGGTGGCTGGCAAGGAACATTTTGCGCAGGTATTTCCACACACAACATTGAACGGGGGGTGCGGGGGGTCGATTATGTTCTAAACGTACGCTGTTTAGCTATTTTATCCAAAGTGTTTTGTCACTGATTGTAGGTTGGAAAATCAACGCGGGAAATTCACCAGGGGTAGTACTGCCAATTGTTTGGTTCTTTTTGCTCGTCCTAACAATATTTTTGCCAAATAACTTGGCTGAAAACTCGAAAGGAAATCAGTTCGATTCAGACACTGACAGTGACGAAAACAATAACGACGAAACTGTTGGGACAGAAGACAACACCAATTGTATTTTCTCGAGCGTGTGTTGCATATATTATCTCGTGTTTCTACATGTGGTTGTCACGGCTGTGATTTTATTCTACGCTCCATTGCTAGCTGCACACCACCTTGGACTCAGACTCACTCACGTGAAATTAATTTATGTAAACAATTAATTGGCTGTCTTCATTTTATTCGTCGCTTCGTATCTCTTACAGGACAAATTCAGCGAAAAGAAGTGTCTTTTTGTCATAATTATCTCAGCAATCGTTCCGATATCAATTACGTTTTATTTTGCTCTAATGTGGAACGAAGCGATCACAATTAATGCGACCTATCTGCTCCTTTTTTCCATGGTTATTGCATGCAAGTGCTGAATTTATGAATTTCTCCTTAACCTGTTCGATGTTGTCAAAAATGACGCCGGCGAATAGTGCCCCGTTTTATCAAAGTCTGGGATTTGCTAGCTTAAATCTTGGCATAATTGTTGGACGTGTACTGGCTGGTGCTACATTCAGCAAAATACCAATGATGTACAATTGCGTTGGTCTGGCAATGGCCTGTGCATTTGGAGTTATATGGATGGCTGTTGAATACAAAAACTTTCCACCAAAAGCATCAGTTGATAAATGAATCTTCGATCCTTTCCGCGATAATGTTTAACAAGTTTGTCCTTCGAATCAGACCGTTAACGTTGACTGGCATGATTTTAAAGGATGAGCTAAGAACATTGACAGGGACGCTATTTATAATATAAGTATAAGAAGTGAAAATTCTATTTGATCACTATGTTTAAAATTGTTCCTTCAAAATGTTCCGATTTCTTTTTAAGTTATAAGTACGTTTAATTATTTGTTATATAAAAGTAATTTAATAACTCTCAGCTTTATTAAATAGGCTATTCTTGAGCAAGAACGTTGCTTGTTGCACACTTCCTCGGTTTCCTTTAATTTGTTACAATTTATATATTGTTCATGTCATAATGTTATTTTGTTTCAAGGTAAATTTTTTAACCCTGGGCTCTGAATTTCCATTCTATAATTGTAGTCTAGTTGGTATCAGATACCGTATAAGATATTGTGTACAGTACCACCTAAAATGCAGTAGATTTTCAGAAATTCTACTACAATAATAGTCCAGATATGTCAGTCTACTACAACCATAGTCTACAATCTTTGCCAGAAACTATGGGACAGCTGCTGTAATTTCATATAATTTGAAAGGATTAGCGCCCCCCCGTTCCCCCAGTTAAATGTTGGGCCAACAAAAATTTGATGTCTGGATACGTGGCGCCAACATTGAAACGGGTGGGGGGAGGGAGGGTGGAAAATATATATCAGCAAATGGTATATTACAACGGAATGCATGTGAAAACTAGATTGTCCCAATCTATATTGTCAAAGATTGTCTGTTGAAGTAATACCATTACTCTTAAATTTAACTTAATTCAACTTGTA